GCTCTCTCTGTCTAATAAATAAATCTTTGAAAAAAAAAAAAGATACACCTGGGGGAAATATTCCAATAGTTAAATTTTAAAAAAGGGATTTAAATAACATCTACACATAAATAAAATGATTCATGATACTTCTTATACAAGAAGAATGATGGATGTCCCCACATTCAATAGTTAGCACTAACCACTGAAAGCTCTTAGAGAATCAAATATCTTGGCAAAGTGGCTTCAGCTTCTTCCATTATGACTTTAGTATATTTTATATTGTCCCCAAGTTGCCTGAAACACTGTCCTGGAATCCACATCAGGATCTATGGGATGCTGGGTGGCTTAGCTGGTTAATTGTCTGCCTTCAGCTCAGGTCATGATCCCGGAGTCCTGGGATCTAGTCCCAAGTTGGGATCCTTGCTCAGAGGGGAGCCTGCTTCTCCCTCTGTCTGTTGCTCCCCTCCCCCACAGTTTGCACTCTTTCTCTCTCTCTCTGACAAATAAATAAAATCTTAAAAAAAAAAGAATCTATACTTATATTTGAAGCCCAAGGGAATGACACAGAAATGGAGACAATATAGTCTTTATGATGTTTCTGTTCTAGGGAGAAATAGCAGCAGAAGAAAATCTGTTAGTTACTAAAAGTGAGCACGATTTGTAAGAATAATTATAGTAAACCTGATAAGTTGTTATCTCCTTATTTTCATCTACTCGAAATAAATGATTTCCTTTTTTGTAGCATTTCTAGAACCTCCAATGTAGTGCTACATCTGTGGTCCTTTTAGTCCCCAGCACATCTGAGAATGCAGAAGACGCAAAAAGAATAAAATCAAAGGAACTCCATTATCAGAATCATATGATTAAGTTGGGTCAATCAGAAAAACGAAGTCAACCTACTAAAGAGAGTTTGAATGGGGAGTATCATCCTTCATAAATCGGGCAAGCAAACCATGAACCACTTGGAAAGCAACAGGTTTGTGCCCTTCTCATTTACCTTAATTTAACAGGTGCATGGAGCCATGGCCTGGCAGTGTCTAGTTAAGCTTGGAGTCTAATGTTGTGGGACAGATTGTTCCAACATCCTTTCCCCATATATTGACTTACTGTTTTTATTTAGCTTTCAAAGGCAAAGGAAAAAACTGAACTCATAACAAAGGACTTGTATCAAAACATAACTTTAATATTTAAATAGACTTTTAAAAAAAACTCCAGCAAACCAATAATAATAGATAGCATAAGAGACAAACAATCCAATAGAAGAAGAGACCACAGAATAGAAAACCTGAACGGCTAATTAAGTTATGAAAGGATGCTCAGCTTCATGGCTACTAATGAACATGCACATTAGGACAAAATGAAACAGCATTTCCAGACAAATAAGATTGGTGGTAACTAAGAATAACAAATGTTGCCTGGGATTAGAGATATTATTGTAATCTAAGTACAACCACTAGGAATAAATTTGCAATTATTTTAATATACAAAGTTGAAGACATCCTGACCTACCAATTCCAATTCTATTTTTATTTACTTTTTATTATTATTATTTTTTAAGGATTTTATTTATTTATTAATTTGTCAGAGAGAGAGAGAGAGGGAGAGAGTAAGCGCACAAGTAGAGAGGCAGGCAGAGACAGAGAGAGAAGCAGGCTCCCTGCCAAGCAAGGAGCCTGATGCAGGACTCGATCCCAGGACCCTGGGATCATGACCTGAGCCGAAGGCAGCGGCTTAACCAACTGAGCCACCCAGGCGTCCCTATTATTATTATTTTTTTAGTAAGCTCTATACCCAATGTGGTATTCAAACTCACAATCCACCCCTACCTCCGAGATCGAGTTTCATGCTCTACCAACTGAGCCAGTCAGGACCCCTATATTCCACTTCTAAATACTTATTCTAGATAAACTCTCATGCAAAGCTGTCCATTTCAAAATTGATTTTAAAGGTAAAAATATGTCCTTTAAGATGCCAAGTAAATTCATTTCTGTAATTCATAAATAGGATTCCAGAGGATAGCTAGAATACATGAACTGAACTTAGGTGTAGCAACATTGTTACATCTTAAACACAATGTTGATTAAAAGAAGTGGATTCTTTTTTTTATTAAGATTTTATTAATTTATTTGAAAGAGAAAGACACAATGAGAGAGGGAACACAAGCAGGGGGAGTGGGAGAGGGAGAAGCAGGCTTCCAGATGAGCAGGGAGCCCCGTGCAGGACTTGATCCCAGGACTTGATCCCAGGACCCTGGAATCATGACCTGAGCCGAAGGCAGCACTTAACGACTGAGCCACCCAGGTGCCCTGAAAAAAGTAGATTCTAGGACCATGCATGAAGTATGGCACCATCCATTTTTTAAAAAGATTTTATTCATTTTAGAGAGAGCACAAGTTGGGGGAGGGCCAGGGAGAAAAGGAGAAGCAGATTCTCTCCTGAGTGCAGAGCCCAACGCTGGGCTCCGTTCCATGTCTCCGAGATCATGACCTGAGCGAAGTCACTTAACCAACTGAGTCACCCAGGCATCTCAGGACTATCTATTAAAAATGTACAAGGACACTAATCTATACTATAAATTGTTTATAGTGCAAGTACAGAGATAATACAATTATATGTAATAAAAGTATAAAAACATGAACAGAAAGAATACAGTAACTTCAGTGAAAAGATAGCTCTGGATTGTTAGAATAATGGAATGGGGATGGATTTCATCTCTATATACTGATTATAAAAAGAAAGAATCTGAAGCAAATATGGCAGAAAATTCACTTCTGTGATACATGTATCCCTGGTAGCACAAACAAATTCTCTAAAAGATGTACGGTTGTTCCATATTTCAATGGAATGAACCAAAGCAAAAATCCCATGTATTTGTTTTCCTAAAAGTTATCTTTTTGAAAACTTATCACACTGGTTCTTTCCAGATTCCAAAGGGCATCCCTTGCAATTTTCTAAATCTTAGTAGCTGTTAAATTTTCCAGGGCACGAAACAAAGGGACAGTTTGAAACACGAGGTAAGATGTTGAGAAAGAATGGCTCTAACTGGGTAACAAATCCTTTTGAAATCCAGCAAACTTGCCATAGTTTTCCTTCATGCCTCAACATCATCAGAGCTGACAGTTACTCACCAAGAGCCACAGAGACGTTTGTGAGCCTGGGGATCTCCTGGGAACACTGTACTGTGCTTTGGGATATACGTTAACCCTTCAGATTCACTCACTTGCTGCTTAAAATGTAAAATGTTGAATAAGAAGTTCTGGATACAATTGTGAGGCCCCTTGTCCTGACTCCCCTTGCAACTTTTTTCCTTTTACCCATACAGGGTGTAGAGATTACTTAAAAATAAAATCTTAGGACGCCTGGGTGGCTTAGTGGGTTAAGCCTCTGCCTTCAGCTCAGGTTGTGATCTCAGGGTCCTGGGATCGAGCCCCACATGGGGCTCTCTGCTCGGCAGGGAGCCTGCTTCCCTTTCTCTCTCTGCCTGCCTCTCTGCCTACTTGTGATCTCTGTCAAATAAATAAATAAAAATCTTGAAAAGAATAAAATAAAATCTTAAAAACAAAAACTATCAACCGAAAGTCCTCCACCTTCTTCTATTCCCCATTGTGAAGCTTCTCATGTTTGCTTCCTTGAAATGTATGACATTTGAGAATGTAAAGTCATTGAATTATAAGAAAAGATTAAATGAATTCTCTAAAGGAATAAGAATATATGCAGGGGTTTCATTGAGGGATTTTTTTCTGATGGGAAAATTGGGAGATTACTGATAGAGTCACTGGGCAGTGAGATTCAGGAGGCATAGTGGTATGCTGGAACCAGCTCATATTGGCTTGCAAGAGCTGATTGTCAAATTTTTCAGAATTTTGTGAGCTGGTTGTTATGCCCAGCCATTATTAAAAGGGTAAGTGTACACGTTTGCAATAAGTTGTATTAAAAAGAGATAACAGAGGGACATGGCTGACTCAGTTAGTAAAGTGTAAGACTTTTTTTTTAAACTTTTTTTTTTTTAGATTTAATTTATTTATTTGACAGAGAGAGAGAGAGACCACAAGTAGGCAGAGAGGTAGGCAGAGGGAGAGGAGGAAGCAGGCTCCCCGCTGAGCAGACAGCCCGATGCAGGGCTCGATCCCAGGATCCTGAGATCATGACCTGAGCCAAAGGCAGAGGCTTAACCCACTGAGCCACCCACGCACCCTTAGAGTGTAAGACTCTTGATCTTGGGGTTGTGAGTTCAAACTCCATGCTGGGCACAGAGATTACTTAAAAAAAAAAAAAAAGATAATAAACATTTAAAACTCATTCATTCTTAATTTTTTTACTACATTTTATCATTATCTATGCCCTTGAGGTTATTTATGTCTATTTTATCTGCATGATGGGAATATTACATAATGGTGTGTTATGTACAACTCTTCCCAATTCCACATTCAGGGACACTATGTTGATAGTTTGAAATAGGCGGTGGTGAGGGTATTTACAACATGGCAACACCAGCAGGCCTTACAGATCAAGGCTCAATTTATTAGTTTGTTGATTGTCTAGACTTAAAAGTTATGGAGAGAATGTTGATGCAGATTAAACTTAAAAGTGTGTTATGTCTGTAGCTGTTAACATTGTAAATAGCATTTAAAAAATTGAGTGGGAGCTCCTGGGGGGCTCAGTTGGTTAAGCATCTGCTTTTTGGCTCAGGTCATGATCTCAGGGTCCTGGGATTGAGCCCTGCATAGGGCTCCCTGGTCAGTGGGGAGTCTGCTTCTCCCTCCCTCCCCTCTGCTTGTGCTCTCTCTTCGTTGTTTCACTTTCATTTTACTGCTTAACAAAAATATCAAGCAATATTCATGGAATTATGCTGGTTTATCAATAGCAACAATATGTTGCTTTGGTTATAAAAACTCAGTAAAAATCAACAAAGGTGTTTTGTCAGAATCAATTGGTTATGTGGAATTTAAATAGAGGACATTTATAAGTTAATATTTTTGTAATAAGAACATCTTTTTTAAGTAGTTTTCAGGCTTGAGACAAAGAACTCTACACACAGGATGGCATCTTACATATATTGGACAGAAATAAGAGGATCGAGCCACAGCCAGAAAGATTCCAGAACTGCAGAGATCTGTTCGATCTGATCCTCACGTGTGAAGAGTCAGTGTATGATCGGGTGTTGGAAGATCTGAATTCCAGAGAGCAGGAAACCTGCCAGCCGGTGCACATCATCAACGTGGACATCCAGGACAACCACGAAGAGGCCACCTTGGGGGCGTTCCCCATCTGTGAGCTGTGCCAGTGCATTCAGCACACGGAGGACGTGGAGAATGAGATCCACGAGCTGCTGCAGGAGTTCCAGGAGAAGAGCGGCAGAGCCTTCCTGCACAAGGTCTGCTTCTACTGACCCAGCTGGCCTGGCGCCAGGCATGCCACCCACCCTCCTGAAGCCATCTTTTTGAGCTTCCTTTTGTTAATACCTTTTCCTTCCTGATACTTGTTTTAACCTTCAGGTACTCTGCCGGCCAATGGCAGTGGTACCAATAAACTGCAAAGGAAACGCAAAGACACAAATGTGTGATTCAAAACAATCACGTTTTTTCTCTCCCATGTGTACTTACAAGTGGGATGTTGATTATAAAAGTTTTTTTTTTCTTTACCCTAAACAGTAAACAATGGTTTATAGTACATTTCCCCCACGCATTTGTGGCTTTCATTCCACCCCCAAATTTGCTGGAATGTACAAATAACCTGAATAAAGCAATGGGTTTTATCTTGCTGGGCGGGGGCTGGGGAAACAAAAACCTTGAACTCACAACCCTGAGATTGAAAGTCACATGCTCTACTGACTGAGCCAGCCAGGCACTCCATAATAGGATTCTTAAAAATCAGTAATACATGGGGAGGTGGGTAGGGGGTTGGGATAACTGGGTGACAGGCATTAAGGAGGGCCCCTGATGTGATGAGCACTTGGTGTTATATGCAACTGATGAATTACTGAACTCTACATCTGAAACTAATGTTGTATTATATGTTGGTTAATTGAATTTAAATAAAAAATAAATCAGTAATACATATACCTATATATTGCTATGGACTGTATTGTGTCCTTCTAAAATTCATATGGTGAAGCCTTAACCCCCAATATGACTATTTTTGGATGTAACATCTTTAGGAGGTAATTAAATATAAATGAGGTATAAGGGTGTGGCTCTACTAATAAAATTGGACAGCCCTAAAAAAAGGGAAGCAAGATCACTCTCCCGTCCTGCTCCCTAGCAGGAAAAGGCCATGTGAGCACACAACAAAATGGCAGCCATGTACAAGTCAAGAGAAGAGACCTCAGAATGAAACCTACCTTCCAGCACCTTGGTCTTGGACTTTCCAGCATCCAGAACTGTGAGAAGTAAATTTCGGTTAAGCCACCCAGCCTATGGTATTTTGTTATGGCAGCCCAGGCTTAGGCATACACACACACACACACACACACACACACAGACATACACACACACACAAGCAGTTGATAGGTGCACAAATAATTGTAAGAAATGTTAAAGAATTCCAAGTGCTATAAAAATATAGAGTAAATGATATGTGAGGAGTGCAGTACAGGTGGCATTTTAGGTAATCCAGGCCATAGATCATAAGGACCTGAACTTGGGCAGTGACCTTAGAAAAACTGAACATGGCTTCAAGAGGGCACCACTTGACTTGTCAGCTACAACTGACCAGCACCTGGACAGCCCATGGATGCTGGATATTTCTCCTGTATGTATGTAAAACATCCCACTTACACCCCTGAGTTTTAGTTTGTTCCTCTGATCATCCTCTATCCTATTGCCAGAGCATATGTTCTAAATCTCATGATGTCGCATTTCTGCTTATAATTGTATCACGATTGCCTGGATATCAAGGTCAAGTTCAGATCTCCTCCTTAACACATTTGCCTGCCTCTCTCTCTCTCTCTCTCTCTCTCTCTTTTTAAAAGATCTTATTTATTTATTTGACAGACAACGATCACAAGTAGGCAGAGAGGGAGGGAGGGGAAGCAGGCTCCCCGCTGAGCGGAGAGCCCCATGTAGGGCTCTATCCCAGGACCTTGGAATTATGACCCGAGCGGAAGGCAGAGGCTTTAACCCACTGAGTCACACAGGCGCCCCTGCCTGCCTCTCTATGTCAGATCTTTTCAGTCCACTTCTCCCAGTCCCACCCCTATCCCAAACATGCACATCTCTTCATTCTGGTCATACTAGGCTAGTTCCTTTACTTTGTCCTGTTGCTTTCACGAACTTTTCTGTTGCTGTATCTGGAAATCTCTCCTCTGTTTAGCCAACTTCTCCTTGTTCTTCAAAATTTAGGGCCAGAATTACTTTTTCAAAGAAATCTTCCCAGACCCTTTCTGATTTAGGTCCCCTCCTCTGTGCTCTCTGTGATTAACTTGGCCTCTGCATATTACATTGTGCATATTACACAAGTTCTGTGCTGTGGTATTGATTTACTTGTCTGTCTTCCCCACAATCTGTGTCATATTCATTCTTTTTATCCTCCATGCCAAATATGGGGCCTTTCGCATAGTAGGTTTCATCAAGTGCATGTTGGAAGAATTAATTTTTTTAAAAAGATTTATTAGCGAGAGAGCGAGAGCGCGCAAGCGCACGCAAGAGCATGAGCAGGGGAGGGGTAGAGGCAGAGGAAGAAGCAAGCTGCCTGCTGGGCAGGGAGCCCCACGCGGAGCCCCACGCGGAGCTCCATCCCAGGACCCTGGGATCATGACCTGAGCCCAAGGCAGCCGCTTAAGAAACTGAGCCACCCAGGTGCCCCAGAAGACTTAATTTTGTAAGTAGAACCACAGGGCTTAGTGAGCCCCTGGAGGAAAACAGCAAAGAAAACATTTCTGAGGCTTAAGAAGCAGACGTTTTGCGGCTTGGACATTGACGGGGAGGACTACCTGCGAGCCGGAATAGAGAGAAAAATTGCTCTGCCTGTCTCTCTTCTCAGCTTACACAGCCAATCAGAGAGCCGGACAGGTGAAACTGAAACAAGAAAAACTACAGTTCCCGTCATACCTCAAGAAACCACTCTCGGTTTCTTCTCTTTGTCACCGCCTCTTCCCTACGGAAGTGAAAGGAGCACTTCCGGGTTTGGCAATAACCTGCGCTACGCGGCGGCGTTAGTTCGGCCCTGTTGGGTCTTGCTCAGAAGCTCCGCCTCTCCCCGGTTTTTCTAGAAATCCGGCTTTGCTCTTGGTGGTGTCGTACAGGTATTTCCCCGCCACTTCAGGTGCTCTCGAGGCAGTGCTCTCCGGAGCGGGCGAGACTTTCCTGTTAAGGTTCGGAGTTCCCGTAGGGCGCGGCGGGCTGGTGGTACGGGACGAGGAAACTGGTTACCGGAATCGCGGCTCCGTGCTGACATCCCCTTTTTTCCCTTCCCGATTTCAGCGTCCCAGACGCGCGTGTGGGTCTCCCATGGCGGATACGGCCCCGAACGGCCCCCAAGGGGCGGGCGCAGTGGTAAGTGAGCGAGCAGGGTCTTCTCTTTTGATTTACTGGAGTTAGGAGGGAACGGGAGGTGTCGCCAAGACTCTTCCGAGACGTTCCACCTCAGTGCTACAAGGGACTGGGATTAGTGATTGAGGTGGGGGTAGCGTAGCGAGGAGAGATCTTGAGCAGAGATGTAGAGGAAGCTACAAGTTTTCTGTTTCTTAAGCCACTGTGGGCCGGGCTGGGGCAGGTGTCTCTTAGCCGTATGCCAGGGAAATCGGGCCTTCTTACCCGCTCCCCCCCCCCCGCCAAGTTTCTAATTGTCCTAGGTTCCAAGGTTGAAGATGCCAGCTGAGGTGGTGCCGCGACACAGGCCTCATTCCGCACACGCGTGCTAGCGGAGAACGTCTCTGCCCGTTTTATGGCATTATATGGAAATTACGCAGTGGGGGAAGCGCAGTCTTTTGTTTTTTGTTTTGTGTTTTTTTTGTTTGTTTTTCTTTTCGTCATTTTGTCCTTCTTTACGAAGAGAGATAATAGGTTTCTGTAAATATTTTATTCTTTTTAAAAAAAATATTTATTTGAGAGAGAGGCAGAGGTAGTGACAGAGAGCACTAGCGGGAGGAAAGGGGGAAGCAGGCTCCTGATCAGGGAGCCCGTTGTGGGGCTCCATCCCAGGACCCTGAGATCCTAACCTGAGCCAAAGGCAACTGCTTAACCGACCGAGCCACTCAGGCGCCCCTAAATATTTTATTGTTAACGTGCAGATCTGCTTACTAGTAAGTTGTAGCTAAGGCATTGTTGCTCTCTAATTTTAAACACTATGAATCTATGTTTTTTCCCCCTTTAAACATTTTTTCCCACTTGAAACATTTTACAGCATTTCCATTTATAGACACAGTTTTCTTTTTCGTTTTGTTGAACCCTTTGAGAATTATTTGCATACACAATGATGGCTAATTCATAAATACTTAAGTATTGTTCAATACCACAATGCAGTCATCGCTGCAATTTTTGCAGTTAAATTTCACTGATACATGTTATTATCTGATTTATAATCCATATTCAGATTTCCTCCATTGCCTGTTAAAGCTGCTTCCTCCTTATCCAGGATTTAGTCCAAGCAAGCATTTTGCTTTTACTGGCAGTAAGTCTCTTTAGAATAGTTCCTTTTGCCTTGTTTGTACCATTTTTGACTCTCAAGAGTTCAGACTTGTTTTGCTTCTCAAACTGAAGTTGCTTGTTTTCTTTCCCTTTATAACTAGATTCAAGTTGAATATTTTGGTAGCAATATTACATAAGTGATATTCGGTCATTTCCCGTGCATTATATATATTTCAGGAAACATTTTATCTTAATTTATGTCATCATCGGAGATAAGTTTGATGATTTGGTTTAGGTGGTATCCATCAGACTCTCCACTGTAAGGATACCTTTCTGTGGCATGATGCTTTGAGACTGTGTGAATAGTTTTTCACCTCAGTAGGTTTTCACCCAACGTTTCATTGATTTTTTTTTTTTTTTTGCCCAAACTGTTTATAACGTGACTGGATTGTTGTAAGCCAGGGGTGCCTGGGTGGCGTACTCTTTCATTGTCTGCCTTAGGCTCAGGTCATAATCCCAGGGTCCTGGGATCAAATCCTTGCATTGGGCTCCCTTGCTCAGCAGAAGGCCTGCTTCTCCCTCTCCCACTCCCCCTGCTTCTGTTCCCTGTCTCGCTGTGTCTCTCTCTTTTATTATAAGTAAAATACTTAAATATTTAAAAATAAATATTTGAAAAATAAATATTTTTATTCAAATATTTAAAAAATAAAAAAGAATAAACCAATACACTTTTTTAAGCCTTTTTTATTGTGTACTAAAATGCAGATACATAAAGGTATACAAAATAAAATGAACAGATAAATGATTTATTAAAAATAACCACCCAAAACCAAATAGATTTAATTTTATTTTATTTTTTAAAATATTTATTTTTATAAAGATTGATTTATTTTAGAGAGGGAGAGCACATGTGCAGTGGGGAGAGGGAGAGAAACTTAAGCAGACTCTGTGCTGAAATCAGAGCCCAGCTTCAGGCTTGAGCCTGAGATCATGACCTGAGCGGAAACTGAGAGTCGGAGGCTTAACCCACTGCACCACACAGGCACCCCAAAAAGATTTATTTTTAAATTTTTTAAAATATTTTATTTATTTGAGAGAGAACAAGCAGAAGCAGGGGGAATGGCAAGTAGGGAAGAAGCGGGCTCTGCGAGCAAGGAGGTGGACATGGGGCTCTATCCCAGGACATTGGGACCATGACGTGAGCTGAAGGCAGCTGCTTAACTGACTGAGCTACCCAGGTGCCCCAAACATTTTATTTTTAAGCAATCTTTATACCCAGTGTGGGGCTTGAACACGCAACTGTGAGATCAGGAGTTGCATGCTCCATTGACTGAGCCAGCCGGATGCCCCTAAGCTTAAATTTCAAAGAACATATTCTAGAATTTCAGACTGTAGTGTAAATTTCTGAATTTTCTAGAGAACCTGAGTATTGTAAGCTAGATTCATTCTTCCACTTGACTGTGGGTGATCATTTAAATTTAGAGAAGTCACAGTGTAGTAGGTTTGGATACAATAAACTAAGCATATTTCCAAAATTATCTGCATATTGTTAAAAAGACATGCAGTGAAACATCTTCGGATTTTAAAATGTACTTGGATTTTTCCAAAAGGTTTTTGTATCTTTTTTTAAAAATTATTATTAAAGATTTATTTGAGACGGGGACAGAGCCTGAGTGGGGGGAGGGGTAGGGAGAGGGACAGGCAGACTCCCCACAGAGCAGGGAGCCCTGTGTGGGATCCTGTCCCAGGACTCCCCTATCATGATCTAAACTGAAGGCAGACGCTTAACCAACTGAGGCACCCAGCCATCTGGTTTTTGTAACTTTCAAAAGATAATTAAGTTAGATTGCTTAGAGTAGTGTTTTAGACTCCGTGTTAAGATTCATTAGTGAGTTTTGAGATCCCTTTAGTGAAAACACTATTTCTAAACATTAAATAGAGTACAGAGCACCAAAATCAATTACACATTGGGAAGGTACTGTTTTGTGAAACTTCTTTGTAGAAGTTTATATATCCATGTGTGTATTGGACTTTGATGTAAAAATTATTAACGTAGATTCTATCAGAAAACATAAAAGCCACTTTAGGATTTGAATACAAGATACATTTTGAAGAGAAAACAGATTTTAAGTGATTCTGTTAGTGTTAATAGCTCCATCCTTGGCAAACAGAACAAGGGCAAAGATAGAATGAGAAAACATGGAGAATCAAGTGGGTTATGGGAGTTGAATTTAGGGCCACTGAAATAGGGTAAGATGTATGGGGCAGCTTCCAAGGGGATGAAGAAAGTCATAAAATTGAAGAGGCAGGGACTCTTTAACATTTGACAGCTATATTTTGAACCATGAGAGTATGTCGGGCCCTTGTGTTTATGTAAGCAAATTATTATGAGTTAGGTAGTGAATGAGTGTTCCCATGGTTTTACATTTCTCCTTTGTAAGGTTTATTTAATCCAAATTGGCTTTGTGTGATTCCTTTTTACTCAGCTCTGAAACCTGTCTATTTGAATTTGAGATTTCTAAGAATAGGCATTATGGTTCTCTTGAGAGCAATTAGTCCTTATTTAACGTTCTTCTAAAATAGATGAAGTCAGTATTACAACTGTTGAAGGAATACAGACAATTGTAGTTAAATTTCTGTTGCAATGATTTCTTTCTTCTTAGCCTTTATTTTTTTAAATATCAGCTGGTATTTTTCTGTTTCAGTGTTTCTGCCGCTTTCTGAATCAGAACTATAGGGTGTTCAGAGGTGTTGCTGAGCGGATAGGTGAAACAGTTGCCTTAGGAGTTTTCACAATTTAATGATCTTAAGTAATCTCTGCAGGGTTGTTAAAACATTTTGAATAGGATCAAGACAATGTGATCTTCACCCTTGGAAAGATAATTTGCAGGCTTAGTTACTACAGTATTTTTCTTTTTAAATTTAGCAATTCATGATGGCCAATAAACTGGACACGGCGATGTGGCTTTCTCGCTTGTTCACAGTTTACTGCTCTGCTCTGTTTGTCCTGCCTGTTCTTGGGTATGTATTACACAGATTTTCTGCCTTTGATACTCAGTTGTTTGGTGGGTTTTCCGGACTGCCTTTTACGTGGAGGGCTTGTTAAATTGCAAGAGGTTCTGGGGCGGATCAAACACAGGTCTCATGCTTTGGGTGCTAATAACTCAGTAATAGCACCAACTGGAGGGATGTCTTAGGTCCCGTGCTTTGTGAAAGCACATGTTTTTTTCATTTTTGATTTTTGCATTTAAAGAAGATGACTGCTTTATAAAATTCACTTGGACAGATCTATGAAGGGATGCTTCTAAGAAGGTATAATAGGTTCAAGTAGTTCTTTTCTGTTGACAAATAAGAGATTTAGGGGTTGTGCAATTATGATGCAATCCACAAAGGAGGAAGAGACCTGCTAGTTGTTATGTCTCATGATAACCTCTCCTCTGGTAATTTGCAGGTTGCATGAAGCTGCGAGCTTTTATCAGCGTGCTTTACTGGCAAATGCTCTTACCAGTGCTCTGAGGCTGCACCAAAGGTTACCACATTTCCAGTTAAGCAGAGCATTCCTCGCCCAGGCTTTACTAGAAGACAGCTGCCACTACCTGCTGTACTCACTCATCTTTGTCAATTCCTACCCTGTTACAAGTATCCTTTTTGTGCCTTTTTGACAAGAAGTCACCTACCAAGTGTAATAGGAGATCTCTTCTGATTATTTTTGGCAATAGGAGGGGTTCAGCGATGAGGGCTTCCATGAACCTAGGTTAGTTGGTTTGTTGACACTTAATTTGAATGAAGATACGTTTAGTGTAAGAGTTTCTGATTCTGACATGTGAAATCTAAATTTGAAGAGCAAACTGGGAATTTTAAATTTTCTATCTTTGTTCTTGCCTCTTGTAAGCTTCTCTATTAGCAATAGGTATTTCAAATTTCAGATTCAAAGCACAGGACTATGGAGGGCTTATTTTAGTATTTACATTTTTTTTTCCATTTAATTCACATCTTTGGGAAATTGTCCATATGTCTTGCTTTAAAAAAAGAGAAATCCTCAGCTCTTTGAACTCCTAGTGAACTAGAAACAAATGGAAATTCAAGAAATATTTAAGCAGAAAACTGTATAATAAATACAATAAAAATTTAGTATTTATTGTGGATAGAGTAGAAAATAAGGACACGTATAATCTTTGGAGCTAATGAGAATGAAATAACTCATTTGGAATTGTATGTTTACACGTTTCGAAAGTGTGTTGGGTGAGATAGGTTTACTCAAAAGGCTGGGGAGGGTTGGGAAGGAGTGCTGCAGTTTAATATGTTCGGGAAGCTCTAGATTAAACAGTTTTAAGTGGATTTCTTTACTACAGGACTTTTGATGTGCTAATGTGCACTGTGAGGCAAAAGGTGACTGGAGTTTGTCATTTTTAATAGTCTGTCCCCACTATGGTTCCTCTGTCCCTCCAGAAAGTATTTTGTGCTTTAAGTGCCGCTCTTAAGAGTTTTTAAATGTTTGATATATTTTGATAAATTCATAAGCTATACATGTGTCTACATAACTATACCTAATGGAAAACACAATAAAATCTGTCTCCAGGGCTAAATATTACCTATTTAGATAATACTTTCTATGATTGTGAAGTACCACATTTTAAATAGATTTCTTAAAAGTCTTAAGGAAAAGAGAGTAGGTAACTGAAATATTTTGAGTACCTGTTTTGTCAGTGCATATGAACTTGGTATACTTAATCCTTGCAACACTGAAAAAAATCATAGTGAGCATCATATATATATATTTTTTTTTTTCTTTTTTTTAAGCTTTTATTTTTTAGAGCACCGGCGGAGGTAGGGAGGGAGGGGGAGAAACAGACTTCCCACTAAGCAGGGAGCCAGATGTGGTGCTCCTTGATCCCAGGACCCTGAGATCATGACCTGAGCAGAAGGCAAAGGCTTAACTGACTAAGCAGACCCAGATGTCCTGAGCATCACATTGATGTGGACACTGAGGCTCACGGGGTTTCAAATAACTTGCCTGACATCACACTGGCAAGTACATAGTAATGCTGACAAGGTCTTTCTGACTTAAAAGGTCTACCTAATTTACAGTTAATGTATGCGTAACTTTTTTTTTTTTTTTTTTAAGATTTTATTTTTTTGACAGAGGGAGAGATCACAAAGAGGCAGAGAGGCAGGCAGAGAGAGAGAGGGAAGCAGGCTCCCCGCTGAGCAGAGAGCTGGATGCCGGGCTCAATCCCAGGACCCTGAGACCATGACCTAAGCTGAAGGCAGAGGCTTAACCCACTGAACCGCGCAGGCGTCCCTGCGTAACACTTTAATATAGTTTTGAAATCTTTCTGTCTGTGCCTGGACAAAGCCAGTCTACATAGCAGGTGGTCACTAAGTTTTGTTGAGTGAATCCTGAATGTCCAATGAGGCTCATGACCAGTTAAGACAACCTCTTTGTCTTTTCTCTGCAATTGGTTATTTACTAGCCCCTCTCTTTGGAAATGTTGAAGAGTAAGGATTTCGTGTTCCTTTAATTATTACATTAGAGGTTGGAGAGTGGTGAGCAATAGGAAGAGCCTAAACTAGTAACTGGCAAGAAATACTAATTTGATTCTTAAAGTAGTTGAGTATTAGGTTAGTGAATAAAGGTGAGTCCCAAGTCATATTACAAAGTTGTGTTCTGATCTTTGGTCTTTTATTTATTTATTTATTTATTTAATTTATTTATTTTTAAAGATTTTATTTATTTATTTGACAGACAGAGATCACAAGTAGGCAGAGAGGCAGGCAGCGAGAGAGAGGAGGAAGCAGGCTCCCTGCTGAGAGCCTGATGCGGGGCGCCATCCCAGGACACCGGGATCATGACCTGAGCTGAAGGCAGAGGCTTTAACCCACTGAGCCACCCAGGCTCCCCTCTGATCTTTGGTCTTAAAAAGGTGATGCTGTCCTTGCTCTAATGATGATAGGTACTTAGAGTTTAACTTTGTAGATTTTTCACCCTTTACATTTTCTAGATAGTTTAAAAGTGACAATGAAAGCTAAGATTATGAATCTCTCTCTCTTTTAAAAAGATTTTATTTATTTGACAGATCACAAGTAGGCAGAGAGAGAGGGGGAAGCAGGCTCCCTGCTGAGCAGAGAGCCTGATGTGGGGCTTGATGCGGGGCTCGATCCTGGGACCCTGAGATCATGATCTGAGCTGAAGGCAGAGGCTTAACCCACTGAGCCACCCAGGTGCCCCAAGATTATGAATCTCTTGTCAAGGATTTGTGAACTATAGAATGTTAGTGATAAAAAACTCATTAGAAGTCTGTAGCTTTTTTGGGTAATATTTATTTGAGAGAGAGCACACTACTAGCAGGATTGGGGGGCGGGAAGAGGGAGAGAGAAATCTCCAGCAGACTCCCTGCTGAGCTTGGAGGCCTGCTGAGCACAGAGACAGACCCAAGTTGGGGCTCCATCCTATGCCCCAAAATCACGACTTGAGCTGAAATCAGGACTTGGATGCTTAACTCACTGAGCTACCCAGGCACTCCCCCCACCCTACCCTTTAAAAAATTATTTCTTTGAGAGGGAGAGGGAAATGAAAGGGGGAGAGGGAGAGAAATCTGGAGCTTTGATGAAACTTAGCCTAGGATATGAAGTTAGTGTCAGAGCCATGATTGGAACCCAGATATCTTTTTTTTTTTTTTAATTTTATTTTTTATAAACATATATTTTTATCCCCAGGGGTACAGGTCTGTGAATCGCCAGGTTTACACACTTCACAGCACTCACCATAGCACATACCCTCCCCAGTGTCCATAACCCCACCCCTGCCAACCCCCCTCCCCCCATCAACCCTCAGTTTGTTTTGTGAGATTTAAGAGTCACTTATGGTTTGTCTCCCTCCCAATCCCATCTTGTTTCATTTACTCTTCTCCTACCCCCTTAACACCCCATGTTGCATCTCCTCTCCCTCATATCAGGGAGATCGTATGATAGTTGTCTTTCTCTGATTGACTTATTTCGCTAAACATGATACCCTCTAGTTCCATCCACGCCGTTGCAAATGGCAAGATTTCATTTCTTTTGATGGGTGCATAGTATTCCATTGTGTATATATACCACATCTTCTTTATCCATTCATCTGTTGATGGACATCTAGGTTCTTTCCATAGTTTGGCTATTGTAGACATTGCTGCTATAAACATTCGGGTGCACGTGCCCCTTCGGATCACTACGTTTGTATCTTTAGGGTAAATACCCAGTAGTGCAATTGCTGGGTCATAGGGTAGTTCTATTTTCAACATTTTGAGGATCCTCCATGCTGTTTTCCAGAATGGTTGCACCAGCTTGCATTCCCACCAACAGTGTAGGAGGGGAACCCTGATACCTTGACTGTCCTTTCAGGGTTCTGTTTTCATTACCTGCATTGCTTCTACTGATTCAAGGCTTCAAGTTAGGATGTGTGTCAAGGTTTAAATTTAACTATTGAAGAAGCAACAGAATTTTACAGTGGCCTTGGAGAGGAGAGACTTCTAGCTTTCATCAGTTTCAGAGGGATCGGTGATTGATTAAAAAGTGTGAAACTATATATACATGGTCTCCACTGAGGAAATTAGCATTTTACTTAATTCTTGTTAGTGTCAGGGAAGAATTGGCCGAGATATCAACTTGGAGAACAATATTAGGTAGGATTTTTCTAATCCTTACGTATAATAGGTCACTGTCTTGCTTGCCAGTTGGAATTAGGCATTTTTGGATCCTAATGTGGTAATGGATTTGGAACTCCTTGTGTTAAAATAATCACCATTTTCCATCACATCTAAGCTTTCATTTAGTGTAGAAAAATATAATGGTTCATTTCTTAGAAACTGCATGTACTTTTTTTTTTCCCCCAAATGAGGGTAATGTAAACATTTTTTTTTAATGTGAACATTTTTTGATTTTTTTTTTTTTCTTAAATAAGTAAACTCTACACCCAACATCAGGCTTGCACTTATAACCTTGAGATCAGGTCGCATGCTCTGTTGACTGAGCCATCCAGGCACCCCAAAAACTGCAAAAACTTTCTTTTTTTAAGATTTTATTTATATATTTGACAGACAGAGATCACAAGTAGGCAGAGAGGTAGGCAGAGAGAGATAGGGAAGGAGGCTCCCTGCTGAGCGGAGAGCCCAATGTGGGGCTCAATCCCAGGACCCTGAGATCACGACCTGAGCCGAAGGCAGAGGCTTTAACGCACTGAGCCACCCAGGTGCTCCTGCACATACTTTTAGGACATGTATTTTTGCCATTCATAATGAACTAACAGTTTGTATCATTTTATGAAATTACTTGACACGTTTTGTTGTTCTTATTAGCAGCCTGACAGAAATTGGGGTAAATAGGGTCTTTTGAGTAATTTTCGTTATTCAAAAAGCTGAATGAGAATTGAATATTTATCCATGACATAAAGCCAAACAGTTGAACTCAAATTGTTTCTGTAATTAAACTGATGAGACTCTCAATTAACTGTACTACACAAACCCAAATATATATATACACACACACACACATATATATGATTTTTATTTGTACAGATTGAGAACACATGAACTGTACAAACAAGTTAGGTACAGTATCTTGAAATAATGGGGATCTTGTAGGAAAGAAATAATGAAAGATCTTAGTTGAGGAAAATGGGAGAAGTACTATTTACAAGCTTTTTTTTTTTTTTTTTTTTAATTTTTATTTTTTTACATAAACTCTGCTTCCAGTGTGGGGCTTGACTTAATCATCTCAAGATCCAGTACCACCCAAGATGGAGTCCGGTGCTCTACTGACTATGCTAGCCGAGGCACCCCTGAGGAAGTACTTTTTAAACCATTACCCCATACTCTTTACTGAGCAGTTTTAATGAGGAAAGCAGGACCAAAGACTGCTTTATATTTGAAGGCCCAATTATTCAGGCCAGGATGGCATTTTGGGGTTAAAAGTGGTAATATTTTGAGGTGGCCTGAATTTTGATAGAATTTAGCAAATGTTCATAATATTTTATTATCTAATAGAAAAGAAAAAAAACTTTTCACTGTTTTCTTAATGAAAAAACTGAGCTTTAGAAAATGAAATTATTTACAGGTAGAAAAAAAAACTTCATTTGGTTCCAAAGTAAAACAACAGAAGCCATCACTGAAGTTCTTTTAGCAGATACTGGTTCAGATCTATATTGGGCATGATACATAGCCTGTTTTACAAAGTACTTGATAAATGTTAAACATTTTCCTTAATTGTTTTCTCCAGTGAGTATTTTCCCAGTCTTGTTATTCTCTTTGCTTCATGCTGCCACATACACGAAAAAGGTCCTTGATGTAAGTAAAGCTCTGCCATTTTTTTAAACTCCTGCGTTGCAGATTGTTGACATGAATTTGAGTTCTAAGACATTTTGGTATTTGTCAGGAAAGTTTCCTTCAATCCATGCAAACTTGTTGTAAATTATTAGTCATTTGAAAGTCTTAAGTTTGAAATTTTTTATTTAAGTTTCACAATATACACTTTATAGGTAAAGGATTATATTGCAGAATACCCCCAGTCCCCAGAGAATTTCTGAAACTTGAAATAGATCTGTTTTTTTAAAAAAATCATTTAGGTTTGGTAAGTTGTCAGAGATCTCTTGTTCTGTCGTTGCTTAATTTTGACATATCAGGTAAGTAGAGTGTACTGAATTTTTTTCACTTTAGTGTTCAGAACTGCTGCTTTCCGAAAATATTTTCTTATTCCTAGGTTTGAACAGGAAACATCATTAAGTGTGCCAGGCGGATTGACTGCATATGCACTGACAGTTGAATTTAAATATCCAAATGTTTGACTTGTGTTGGCCTGTTTCTTTATTCATACAGTTCTTTGGTCACAGCAGTAATTGGATACTGTAATTTATTTAGCTAAGGACTCACAAATATCTTAACTGTATTACTAGGTAGTTTGTTATGGTAAAGTTGAAATAACCACTATATTTTTGTGAAATAATCTAGTCTTTAAAAAAAAAAAAGCATGGAAATTACTTACTAAAGTTGTCTTATTTTTCAAATACACAAAATCCAGCAAAGCAGGAAAATATACACTAACTTTTACATTATTTTGTAAACTTTTATATTACCATTTCCAAAATGTCTTTTAGTTGTATTACCTGTTGGATATGCTGTTTGTCTAAAGAAAGAAGATATTTGAGTAATCAAAAGTGCTTCATTATTTCTGATATTGTTTTCTTATGTTTTAGGCGAAGGGTTCAAATAGTTTGCCTCTGCTGAGATCTATCTTGGATAAATTAAGCGCTAATCAACAAAATATTCTGAAATTTATTGCTTGTAATGAAATATTCTTGATGCCTGCTACAGTTTTTATGCTTTTTAGGTAAGAATAAAAATACATTTGTTTTGGGAGGCAGATGACTAAGTGAATGTAATAAAGGTATTAACTCATTTCATCTTGCTTTTAAATGTTAGATACTGATATGCAGAGCTAGCTTGATCTTAGCAGCCATTTTTCATTGTATCGTAGAGAACCTGAGATGTTATGGTAAACCTAGGAACTTGCTTATTTATCATTCCTTGTGATTTACCATTTACCATTTTGAAAATTTATTTTAGAATTGCTGCCTTTAAAAGAATCTTAGGAAGCATCATTTAATGTATCTGCCATTATTTAGATGGTTTTTCTTTCAGAAAAATTACGGTCTGATATTGATAGCTGCCTGTTATCACCTCCGTGTTTTGTTTCTATTTTTTTTTTTTTTTAAGATTTTATTTGAGAGAGAAAGAGACAGCGAGACAAAGCACTAGAGGGGAGGGGAGCACGAGCTGGGAGGAGAGGGAGAAGCAGGCTCCTTGCTGAGCAGGGAGCCTGACTTGGGACTCAATCCCAGGACCCTGGGATCCTGACCTGAGCTGAAGGTAGATGCTTAACCAACTGAGCCACCAAGGCGTCCCTTAATTTTTCTTAATTACAGAAGTAAGGCATGAATAAAAGAAAGTTATCCTGTTAGAAATTAAAACATCAGGCTAGTATTGACCCTCCCCATCAAGATTCTTGGATTTAAGTTTTAAAACCTCATTTCTGGGGAGATGGGTGGGAGAATGGGTAAAAAAGATGATGGGGATTAAGGAGTGTGCTTGTGATGAGCACTGGGTGATTAAAATGAAAATTTACCAGAAAAAAAGAAGAAAATGGAGGAGCATACGCTTTGGTTACCAAGTCAAAAGTTCTTCTCTGTCTCTATTAATGTGTTTATCTTCTTTGTTGTGGAAAGAAAAAAATTACTAGCTTCAAAGCTAAATTGGAGAAAAATTCAGATCAGCAGGGAAAAAAAAATAAAACTACATTTCTGCCTGGATTATTGCTTTTTTAGTTTTTCCAATAAGAGGACATTACAGATAAAAGCTAAAATACCATTTGACTCTGAGTTGTTGCAGTTCTGTCCTCTTCTCTTATGTCTTTGTGCATGTTGCACTTTAAAAATATTTATACAGATACATAAAAAAATACATACTATGGGGGCATCTGGGTGGCTCAGTGGGTTAAAGCCTCTGCCTTCGGCTCAGGTCATGATCCCAGGGTTCTGGGATCGAGCCCTGCATCGGGCTCTCTGCTCAGCAGGGAGCCTGCTCCCACCTCTCTCTGCCTGCCTCTCTGCCTACTTGTGATCTCTGTCTGTCAAATAAATAAATCTTTAAAAAAGAAAAAGAAAATACATATGGGTTCTTTGGGTTTTTTGTTTTGTTTTGTTTTAGTTTTTTATTTTGCGTCAGAAGTGCCATAATCCATCAGTTATCTGCATCTTGCTTTTTTCCACTCCTCCAGTATGTTTTCGCGCCCTATTCATGTTGAAAGATACAATTCTTGTTTGTTCCATTTAATGGCCATGTAGTGTTTGGTCATATGCTGCATTTTATTACCTGTTCCATGTTGATGGGAAAACGTGTTTCCAAGGTTTTGTTTTTCTAAATATTGATGGATGAACATCTTTTTACCTTTTTTAAAAAAAATTTTTATTTATCTTAGTCTACTCCCAATGTGGATCTCAAACCCTGAGATCAAGAGTTGTATGCTGCTTCGACTGAGCCCCCTTTTTACCTTTCTGCTTATATTTTTGTGCATGTGTTTTCTCTAACCTAGAACTGATTTTGCTGAGTCTAAGCTAAGTGCATTTTATACTTAATAGACCATGCCAGACTTTAAGATGTTTGTATTTGCAGTTTTCCATGATCTCATTAACTCAAAAAACTTAATTTTTATGAAATATTTCATTTTAGTGTGCATTGCCTTAATGAGTGAGATTTTTGCATGTCTGACTCTTTCGCAGTCTGTAAGCCAGTAACAGTTTTATAGATTTCCTCATAAATGCATTCGTTCCATTCTTTTAAGTAATGTTTTTCTCTGGAAACTCCAGGATCACCACATGTTGCTCAGGCTGTAGGATCATAAGTTAGATAATATAATCTAAATAAAGTCTGGAATGGCAGAGTGGAAAGACTTACTGGGCGTTAGAGACCTGGATTCTAGTTGATGTGATCCTTAACTTAGCCTTTTGAGCATTGATTTTTTTTCACATTTAAAAAACTTAAGCCTTGGGGCGCCTGGGTGGCTCAGGTCATGATCCCAGGGTCCTGGGATCGAGCCCCACCCACATCGGGCTTTCTGCTCAGCAGGGAGCCTGCTTCCCCCTCTCTCTCTGCCTGCTACTCTGCCTACTTGTGATCTCTGTCTGTCAAATAAATAAATAAAATCTTTAAAAAAAAACTTAAACCTTAAACTGATTTTAATTTTCAAGATTATTGTAAAAGAAATGAGAATTTACCAGAGATACTTAAATAGAGAAATCACTTTGTTATTTAAAAGACTAACCTAAGATTATAAGCTTTTCCTCGTAGGAAAAGCTCTTGATGATTTAATGTCACTTGCATGTAACACAAACTATAAAATTAAAAATAACTTGAAGTCATTATTCCTTAGATGCTCCCTCCATGATAGAAAGACAGTCTAATATTAGAAGGCTTCATTAAGTTATATTTTTCTGAGTAATGCTTCAAGCTTTCTATTTAAAAATGAAGGTAAAGTCTGTGAGTTTATCTTACATATACATGGACATGAGTGTAAAAGATAAGAGGATGAGATCTTGTAGCTTTATTCGTTAGTAGAGAGCTTGTTACATAGTAGTAATGCTAAGGTGAACTGGTTGAAGCTAAAAAAAGCATGAGGGAAATTTATGTGTTGTGATGGGGATAATCCTCAAGATAAAGAAAATTTAGAAATTTGTTAAAGGGCGCCTGGGTGGCTCAGTTGGCTGAGCGGCTGCCTTCGGCTCAGGTCACGATCCCAGGTCCCGCAACGGGCTCCCTGCTCAGTGGAGAGTCTTTCTCCCTCTCCCTCTGCCTGCTGCTCTGCCTACTTGTGCTTTCTTTCTCTCTCTCAAATAAATAAAATCTTAAAAAAATTTTTTTTATTAAGAACTGTGTAGGGTGTTCCCTTTTATATTTTGGGATGTGTTTGTATATTTAAGGGCATATGAATGTTTTTTTCTGCTTCAGTTTCTTCATCTTTGAAATGGGAGTGATAATGCCACTTCCCTCTTGGAATTGTTAAATGGATTCAGTGCATTGTAAAGTGAGCACTGTATCAGTGTCAGTCATTATATGCCCTCGTGCATGTGAATTTCTGGAAAGATTAATATTAGAGACTGAGCTGTAATTCTGAGGAAGGAGCTAACTTGGATGATGGAAAATTTTTCATTGAATATTCCTTTCTGTATTTTCTTTATTTTTTTTTTTTAATTTTTAAATTAAAAAAATTTCATTTATTTATCTGACACAGAGAGAGAGATTACAATTAGGCAGAGAGTCAGGCAGAGAGAGAAGGGGAAGCAGGCTCCCCGCTGAGCAGAGAGCCTGATACGGGGCTCAATCCCAAGACCCTGAAACCATGACCTGAGCTGAAGGCAGAGGCTTAACCCACTGAGTCACCCAGGCGCCCCTGTATTTTCTTTAGTATGTGTATTTTTCAATTTGAAGAGTTAAAGATTTGTCACAGGAGTTTTTGGGGAAAGTGGATGTGACATTTAGTTTAGTGATTAGTTTGTAATCACAGATTTTTATTATGAAAGTAATATCACAGTTCAGAAGAAAAGGTAAAAATAGGGGCACCTGGGTGGCTCAGTGGGTTGAGCCTCTGCCTTCGGTTCAGGTCGTGCTCTCAGGGTTCTGGGATCAAGCCCTGCATAGGGCTCTCTGCCCCACGGGGAGCCTGCTTTTCCGTCTCTCTCCCTGCCTGCCTCTCTGCCTACTTGTGATCTCTATCTGTCAAATAAATAAATAAAATAAAATAAAAAAAGTAAAAATTAACTTTAAAAACCACATTAGCATCTTTAATGTATTTCTTCAAAAAGTTTTAATATACAATTATAATAATATGTATAGTTTTATGCTCTGCATTCTCAAGGTTGCTGTATGGTTTTCATAATCAAGATTTTACGTAGTTGCATATTAACTCTGTCAAATAAAGGTAATATACATAGCCTTGCTATTAACTATCCAAATAGTGATGCATTTAATTTGTAATTATTGCTGGCGAATGTCTTAATCCAGATGGTCTTTCTAGGAAGAAATTCTTGACTTAGAATTTCATAAATATGTATATGGCTCTTAGGTATTAAAATTGTGTTTAACCAAGCAAAATAGTAGAACAAGCTATGTGAATTTACTAGGGAACCTGTGTGATTTTACTAGTTTTTTTGTTTATATAAAATGAACTGGGGCGCCTGGGTAGCTCAGTGGGTTAAAGCCTCTGTCTTCAGCTCTGGTCATGATCCCGGGGTCCTGGGATTGAGTCCTGCATCAGACTCCCTGCTCTGCGGTGAGCCTGCTTTCCCCTCTCTCTCTCTCTGCCTGCCTCTCTGCCTACTTGTGATCTCTGTCTGTCAAATAAATAAATAAAATCTTAAAAAAAAAAAAAAGTAAATGAACCGCTTTTCATTTACTATGTTATAAAGTTTCAAAATTTGATAATCAGTTATTAGTGGTAATTATGGAAGCATTTATACATTTTCTTCTTTTGAAAGATTTTATTTATTTGAGAGAGAGATGGGGGAGGGAGAAGGAAAGGGAGAGGGAGAGGGACAAGCAGATTCCCTGCTGAGCGGGGAGTGCAACGAGTTGGGACCAATCCCAGGACCCTGAGATCATGACCTGAGCTGAAGTCAGAGGCTTAACCAACTGAGCCACCCGGACACCTGTATACATTTTTTGGTTCATTTAATAGCATTTAAAGTTTTTAAAAGTAATATATACATAAATACATGTTTATAAAAATTTAAGCAATAACATTTTACTTGTTAGCAATCACATATATTCTTACTTCATTTCTTTTTTTTTTTTAAAGTAAGCTCTCTGTCCAACATGGGGCTTGAACTTAAAAACCCCAAGATCAAGGGTTGCATACTCTACTAACTGAGCTAACCAGGTGCCACTCTTTTACTTCTTTTAAGAATAACTTTGATTTAGGGGTGCCTGGCTGGCTGTTAAGTGTCCAGCTCTTGATTGCTGCTCAGTTTATGATCTCAGAGCTGTGAAGTCAAAGCCCCATGTTGGGGGTCTGCACTCAGTAGGGAGTCTGCTTCTCTCTCTCTTGTCTCTCTCTGCCCCTTCCCTTGCTTGCACTCTTGTTCTCTCTCTAAAATAAATAAATAAATCTTAAAAAAGTAATTTTGATTAAGACTTGATAGGTATTACCATGACCATTTTTTATTTTATTTTATTTTACTTAGAGAGGGTGCACACACATGTGCACCAAGTGAGTGGAGAGGGGCAGAGGGAGAGGGAGATAGGGAATCTTAAGCGGGTTCTTTGTCCAGCACTGAGCTGGATACGGGGCTCAGTCTCAATGATCCTGAGATCATGACCTGAGCCGAATTCAAGAATTGGACGCTTAACGAACTGAGCATCCAGTCGCCCCTTCCATGACCATTTAATGAATGAAGACACACACAGGCTCCAGTTAAATTGCTTTAAGTTTTGAGAGTATACATATGAATTGATAATGTGTATTTCTTGCCCTTGTTTGTTTATTTCAGTGGCCAAGGAAGTTTGCTCCAGCCTTTTATATACTATAGATTTCTTACTCTTCGATATTCCTCTAGAAGAAATCCATATTGTCGGTAAGCTGGTGATTAGTTTAAATGTCTTATTTGTTGAGAGTATTGTGAGATACAGTATTTGTAACTTGTAAGAGTTGTCTAGCTTCTTTTATGTTAGAATTTAGAAGCAAGTGATATTTTTGTAAATTTAAGTTCCAGGCCTTAGTAGGATTGGTGAGGAGGTGGTTGTATTTCTTTTTACAAACTGAGACCAGATTTATCTTGGTCTCCACTAAAATAGTACACCAGTACTTCAAGTTTAAGGAATTTAAAGATGTCTAAGACATTAGTCCCAAACTCAATGCACTCTCCTAATTGAAGAAACAAAACCGTATGTCAAATAATAAGGAAATAATAGTTGAGGATGCAGTGTTCACAAACGCATGTATGATGCATTGTTATGTTTGCTTTATTGTATCAATACAGTAGTCCACAGGAAGGAGAGATCAGGAAATAAAAAGAGCCCATGAAAGTTTCACAAAGCAGAGATTTTAATCTGTTCAAGAAAGATTAAAGCCTTCGAATAAGACAGAATAGGTGAAAGCATTTTAGGTAGGAAAATAGTAGGAACACAAGTTCAGAGCCAAGAGGTAACAAGCCGTATTTAAGGGGTACTGAATAGACCTGTTTGACTGTACCAGGGATTCTGAATGGTAAGTGGTTACACTTAAGACTAAAAATGTATATTGGAGCCAAATCATAAAATTTCTTGAATTTCAGGATAAGAAGTTTAGAACTTATCTTTTAGATGTACGAGAATGATGGTTTGGACATGATCATATTCTTCTGGTAGTCTTGTGCAGAATAGTTTGGAGTGGAAAAATGAGGAAGCAGTAATATTTTAATAAGTTACTATAATGTTCAGGAATGGAGGCTTCAGTGATAGAGTAAGTTATGCATGTGGATCTCAAGTTAGAGTAAAACTGAAAAGAATAGCTGTTTTTAATAGCTTCTTGGATATGTTACTGAGAATACTAATGTTAACACAGTTTTTGTTTGCAAATTTAAAATAAATTCATTGTATGGTAGAATTCAGTCAGAAATCCAGTGAGTGTTTTATCATGATCTTTATTTTCATGAGCAAAGTAAAAAGAACTGAAATCGAATGCTGGTCCATGTTTTTTAGATTTAGGCAAGTTTTATAGTTTTAGTTTTATAGATTTAGGCAAGTTTTTAACTTTAGGCAAGTTACTTAAATTTTAATTTTTTCATTGGTAGAGGAGAAAAATCTCCTCCTGGGGATGAAGTGAAGTAATAAAGTGCTTAGATTCTGTTGTGTTTCTAATACATACTTTATTTTCCTTTTTCTGTGATTCTAATTATCCTGGAGGAGCTTTTATGTTCTGTTAGACAATGTCTTTCTTACAGTACTTCCTAAAATAGAGCTAGCTTCAGGCACAGGTTCTTAATGAGTCCCTAGTCAGAAATAAACTTTCTCGGTTTTACTTGATTCCATGAGTTTTTGCCCTTGTTTTTTATCTGGTTCGTGTATTCATTTCAGACAATATCTTCTGGTCCCCTGCCCTAGTAATCCATTTTTCGTCAGCAGCTTTGTTTTTCTCTGCTTCTTTATACCCTTTTTATCTCTAATCCCATTTTTCCCACTTGCCCTTAAGTCAGATTAGCACACAGAAAAATTTAGAAGTATCCAGTGGGATAAAAAAGGAAACAGCAGGATCCAGGTAATGCAAATATGTGCTGATAAGCATTTTCAAAGATCTCCCATAAGCACACAAAACACAGCAAAACAGTGGAAAGGAAATGGGAAATAGTTGAGCTTATAAATATTGATAAATAGCCTATAAAACTACATTTTCTGTGCTACACTTTTTTGTTAGGGATTTTGCCAGCTTGTACCATTTTTACTTAAAATATCCATTCCCATGTTAACGGTATCAGTCCTTTTTAGATGGCGAGGGTAGATTGTTCAGAGCTGCGCTGTACAGTATGGCAATGGGCAGCCACATTTGATTTTTTTTTAAGTAGGCTCCATACCCATTGTGGAGCCCAACTTGGGGCTTGAACTCACGACTCTGAGATCAAGACCTGAGCTGAGATCAAGAGTCAGATGCTTAACTGATTGAGCCACCCATGTGTCCCACATTTGACCATTGAAATAAAAACTAAAATTCATAAACTTTAGGGGCATCTGGGTGGCTAAGATGGTTGAGCATCTGCCTTTGGCTTGGGTTGTGATCCTAAGTCATGGGATCAAGCCCCATGTCAGTCTCTTGCTTGGTGGGGAGTCTGCTTCTCCCTCTTCCTCTGCTTCTCTTCCTACTAGTGCTCTCTCTCTGTCAAATGAATAAATAAAATCTTAAAAAAAAAAAAAAAAAGAATTTGTAAACTTTAAAACCCAGTTCCTGAGTCACATTAACCAGTTTCACGCACTCAGAAGCAATGTGTGGCTGATGGTCACCCTGTTTGACAGCATATGGAGACACTTTGATCATTACTGACCGTTTATTGTCAGCGCTGCTCCAGCACTGTGACTTGGTCTAGATCATGCCAGGGACAGCCTTGAATGAAAGAAATAGCCCTGTGATTTTAGGCAAGCCATTGACCTCTTTAGGCCTCATCTGTAACCTGAGGGGTTTGCTCAGAGTATTTTTACGGTGCCATCTGGTTTTATTCACTAGTCATTTATTCAGAAGACGGTGATTGTGTGTTGGTGAAGTCTGAGTTCTGGCACATGGGTGCCTGAAAGTGCATGTTGCTGGAGTTACAGACGTATATAAGGAGGTTATGAAGATCGGTGCTTCAAAGGGAAGACAGACAAGATCATGAAAGGGTTTGGAATTTATTTCAAGATAGGAAGAGCATTTGGAGTTCATAAGATGGAGGGTTTGAGAATATGATGAGATCTGATTTAGAAGTATTCCAGAAAATGCATTACATCCTCAGCCAGAGGAAGAATGGACCATTTTGGAGACTAGGAGAGTAGTTCAGAGCCTGAACTAATTCTGTGTAAAATAAAAGAGATAAATTTGAAAGATTTAGCAGGCTGGAGTTTAGGGTTTGGGGAAGACTAAGATAAGGAAGCCCAACACAGGATACAGAAGGGTAGAACAGGAATTGTCTGTATGCAGGATGAGTCAGCAGATAAAGTGAAACTTCAAAAGTGAGTAATGAAAATTACTTCTGGTGGTCTGTCAAAATCTCTTGTAAATTACAGTTCAACCAACATACATGATTTTGTGTCTATTAGCCTATACAATGTATGTGCAGTGTGTACAGTATGTAATAAAGAGTCCTTTGGAGGCAGCAAGCACAGTAAAAGTTCACAATGTATTTTGGGCACAAATTTGCAACACAACTGGAATATAGGGGTCGAGGCAGAGAGTGGGAGAGGAGATGAAGCAGAAAATTCGATTAAGACCAGATTCTGGAGGGCATTAGATGTTAAAGAGTTGGACTTTAAGTCTGAAGGTAGACAAGAACTGGTTTGATCAGTGGGATGATCCAACTGGGAAGTGGCCTTTCTTGAGTAACTTCTGTGCTGTCTCACTTAAATTACTCTACAGCTGACTCCATGAAGTACGTATGCCTATTTTATAAATGAGGAAAGCTCTAAGAGGCATTACGTTTAAGGCAACAGTTTTTTTTTTTTGTTTTTTTTTTTAAGATTTATTTATTTGCGATGGTGTGAGAGAGCATGAGAAGGGAGAGGTTCAGCGGGAGAAGCAGACTCCCTGCTGAACGGGGAGCCTGACCCAGCCTTTGCTCAACCAGCTGAGCTACCCAGCCTCCCTAAGGCAGTAATATAAGGAAAATAGTAGGCGGGAGTGCCAATCGTATATAGTTTTCACTCTGTTGCTCTCTTTTTTAGAACTAGTTGAATATACTTAAGTTAAATGTGAAAATGTGACTCTACTGTAAAGATACAAATTGTCCTTTATCTCAGCCCTTGGAGATAACCATGTATTAGATGCTTTTGTTAAAGGAACTCCCCCCCCCCCCCCACCTCCCCGCAAAAAACCACACAAATGTTGATTTTGAGAATTTTATTTTGTGTGTTTCCTACAGTGCATTCTAGTTATTCCTTTTCCTTCAGATTCTTTACCGACTGTGAGAAATCATTCCTCGGCATTTGTTTTGTATTCTTTTTCCTTTTGTGTCTGAACGAAAACTGTTTTATCTTGCAGGACCTTGTTTAATGAACTGAGGATTGTTGTTGAACACGTAATAATGAAACCTGCTTGCCCACTGTTTGTGAGAAGACTTTGTCTCCAGAGTATTGCTTTTATAAGCAGACTGGCACCAACAGTTGCGTAGTTTAACATCCAGCTAAGTTATATATAGTAGAAATAAGCATTTTTAGCAGTTGGTACTTCTGCTAAGGGTTGTTAATTCCAGGTATAAAACTGACCTCAATCCAATTTACATAAACACATCTCAATGGAAAATTTATCATTTTCCTGGCATGTTAAATCAAGCCTTTTAAAAAGTTCCCAAGAAAATTTTATTGTGCTGTGTTATTAATGGTTAAGGAAGTTTCTGTCCTGTGATCAGTGTATCAGAAATTTTTTTAAATGCTGCTGTGCCTTTATCATGAAGTACATTTATTTCTCTTATAAAAGTAGCTTTAAAATTTCTTTCAACTTAATTGGTACCCTAAATTTATATCTGGCATGATTCCATTATAGTAATATTAACATACATGAATTCATCATATTTTGAGACAGTATTATTTTGCCATTCAGTAATTTTGGTTGATGATTTTAAAAGAAACATTTACCACTATATTTAATTTCAGATTGTTATTAAATTCATGTTCTGCTGCTTTGTTAGGATTTGTTTTGGATATACCATTTTAAGAGGAATTCTGCATGCATCTTGTATCTTATGCTATGATCTTCCAAATTTTTATTTCCATAACTACTTAATGTGGCTTTGAATATTTTTTAAAAGGCTGAACTGTAAGCGTGTTAGCCAACCGAGTCACTGTCTGGGGTCACTGCTGTTTCACATCAGAAAGCCTTAGTGGTTATATGGCTTTCCTTTTCGATACCCATCAAGTAACCTTTCTCAAATAGGAAACCCTTTTACAGATGTGGACACACAGATGATGAGCGTTACTGTAGTTTATAGAATTAGATTCTTGACCGCCGATTTTCTTGGTTCCTTAGGCTTGAATTTTCATAGACAGTTGCAGCAGTTCAGATGTCTTTTGAAAGGAATGTCACTGAAGATTGAGCATATGCCTGTGCTTGGGTCTGTTCTGAAATAATAATGAAGATGATCCTGTAGATTACATACTTACCCATCAAATGTGATTTAAAAGGTTAAGTGGAAAGATTTATAGGTAAGATAATTGGTGGGGAATGGGGCTGGAAGATGAATTGTGGGGGATTGGTGTGTATTTTAATTTCTTAATGCATAGGTAAATTTAGGAGTCTTGGGTGTATTATGCAGCTGTGATTTGAGTTGTATAATATGTTAAATCCTGTTTGTTGAGCTGCCCTCAACTTCTTTATAAAATTCATTCTGATCTTTATTACTGTTGCATGGTTGGGAATGTTTAAAACACTGCGAAAGTTTTAATACACAGTGATGTAATGGTTTTTGTGACCAGTTTTCTTCTGTCTGCATGTAATTGGATTTCTCATATATTTATTGAAACTTGTAACATCAGTTTTCTTTTTGCTCAACTTTCCCATCTTTGGAAATGTGATGTCTACTTGATAGCTCAACTATAGCCAACTGTTTTTGTATTTTTTTAAATATTTATCTACTAAGTTAGAAAAGCAGCCTCATGCAGTACAGTTGATTGGGGTAGGTGGGTGGGTGTGTGGCTAGCCTCATTATCACTATATATGTAATATGATGGTTTTAAGAACTAATTTTCTAGAGCAATAAAGTGACTGTAATGTTAAGTAAACAGTATATTATTGATTCCTAATGAAGTCTTTAAAAATTAAGTCTTGAATTGTATCAGGAGATCTTGGCAGCTGAAGTCATACTTATTTTTAAGTTACGTGTTTTTTTGTTTTCTACAATTTTTAAAAATCGAGATAATTTTAGATTTATAGAACAGTTGCAAAAATAGAGTTCTTGTATACCTTTTACTCAGCTTCCCCTTATATTAACACCTTACATAACTATATAGCATTTATCAGAACTAAGAGATTAGCCTTGGAACAATACTATTAATTAAAGTATAGAACTTACTCAGATTTCACCATTTTTTCCATTAATTTTCTTCTTGTGTGCTGTTTTTACTGATTGTCTTTTAATGACCTATGAGTGTGCCTCTGTTCTGAGTTTTTCCTCTTTAGTTTGGGAATTACTGTTGGTCAAAAAGATTTCCCTAGAGGGAATAATTTCATGTTGGTTTTGACGAAAAGAATTTTAATATTAAAACTTAAAAATGTAGAATACCCTGTGCTTTAAAAGTTGAGGCTTTTTATCAGATAACAGGATTATATTTCTCATATGCTCCTGTTGGACTGTTCTTTAATGGAAGGTTTGATTTTTAAATAAAAAACTCCTTAATTCATGAAAAAGTAAATTTTACAATTTGAGTGTTACTGGATGTTTAGTTTGCATGAGCTTGTACCTAGGAATCCCACGATATGTGTATGTACAACCAGCTGATTTGACATCTGGAATTAGTTTAATATGTACATCTATCAAATTAAAATTAGGGAAATACAGTAGCAGTATATGGAATGAATGAAGTGGAAGAAATTATAGCATAGCTGAACTTCATTTTACTTCCAAGTTTAAAAAAGTCAGCATCCAAAATATCTAATTCTTTTTTAGAAGTGCTGTAATGCTATTCTGGGACAGGTGGAAGCCTAACATAAAACCTACTTATATTATAACAAGAATTCTGTATTCCTTTTGTATACCTGATGCCTTGTGAATATAAGCTCTATTTAATATCAGTCCCAAACTGAAATTTCTTAAATAGTAATTTTGCTCCTGGAAGTAAGCAAGTAATTTAGGTATTTAGGAATTTCCCTTCCAGGAAAATTCAAGGCATGCTGATATTAAACCACAAGGTTTTTATGAAAGACTTAGGAGGTCTCTTTAATAACTATGAATTGTAAAGCTGTTACAATACCTTTTCTTTCTAAAAATCAATATCAAAAATTCTGATTAGGTTTGTAAGTTTAGGACATGAATATCATTCGATGTGGAAAGGAAGATGAGTGTATATGTAGTAAGATAAGTGGAACTGAGAGATTGTTTTTTTAAAGTCTGAGATCAGAGTGAATGAAATTAATTTTGAGGGATTGTGGTTAAAGACTCTTATCTAATCCTAAGGAGTTTATTTTGATTCATATAGTTTTTCTGAAACTCTTACCCCACTCATGCCTGCCCAGATCCCCCTAAGATCTGCTAGCCTCAAAGCTACTACCCAAACTTAGATCAGTTTTGATTCTGACTCTAATGAAACAAACCTCAAGGGAGAAAGTAATCCCAGACAGTTATGGATATGATCAGTAGATGGCACTCTTTCCTCAGGTCATAGGCCCAGTTGGAAGGTTAAATGCCACCACAAGTGTGGAGTCAGCCATAAAACTAAGGATCTGATTTCACCCTTTTTAATATGTAATTACTCAAAATTCAATAAATATTTAGTAAACATTTATGGTGAGTACATAGTAATGTATTGAAACTACATTACTATGTATTGAATTATATTAAAATCATAGTAAAATATTGAAATGTTGAAAACCTGGAAGAGTACCCTATTAATGTTTACCCTATTAATGTTTATTAATGTTCTAGTCAAATGGTAATACAGGCCACAGTTTAGGGCAGCATTATTCAGATCATTGACTCTGTGTTGTTTTTTTCTTTATAAATAGTGCCTAAATCACCTAAAAATACATGAATTACAAAATTGTTCTTTGTCCTTAATTTTCAGGTGTATAGAAAAATGGTACTTAAAATTTTTTCATGGTCCTTTTGTAGGTACACAAGATAAAGCCAGTTCAACATCTTAAAATTTAGACTTCTCATGGTAATAATGTAAAAGCATATTGATATTTTTGGTTATTTTATCGAGAATAATATCTAGACTTGTAAATTCACTTTGAGTTGCAGTGACAGCCAGTTTCTCTTTTACACCTCATTGGAATTTGTCTACGATCAGGAGAATTCTGCAGAGTCTATATGATAATGTAGTTCAATAGATAGTGTGCCAAAGGTGTATGTTTATAAATCCAGGAGTCTTTTCCAGGGTTTGTTTTAATGAGCAGCCCTCTTCTAATATTCAGAATGGAAAAGTATTACTGGATCTGGTATTAAGGGTAAGAAAGGAACTGCTAAAAGTTTGGAAGGATTCCTGGTAGTAATTATTTTAGGACATTTGTACCTTCTAAGGTGGTGTTCAGGTGGGTTCTTAGAAGGAACCTGGTTTTCTCTGTGTGTGGTATGAACTCTCTAGAGCACTCTTGTGCAGGGCAAATAGGAAAACTGCTTTGAGTTTGAGTTGATGTGACAGGAGATAAAGTACAGTATTTTTAAAATCTAAAGCAGATTCTGTTTCTTAGGAAAGTGATAAGGAAAAAATTGGTACATATCTTTGCTGGAATCTAAAAATTAACTCCAACTAAAGGAGAAGGAAAGTCTCCAGAGTCATTTCACATTGTCCTTCATAGCGTTCTTAAAACTGACTTTTTGATATGCCCAATCCTCTTAAACTAATTTTTTTTCTTGGTTTTATGACAGTTGAATTCCAGATTTTCTTTTGTACCTTTAAAGCATAACAATTGCTTTTGACATGAATTTTTGCTTATATCATATATATTTGTAAGTTGAGACCAAATGGGCAAAGTCTTGGGCAGGAAACATTTGTGACGTGTCTATATTGGAACAAATGTGAAAGGGTCACAAAGATTAGAAAACTGCTTGATTTATAAATGCATTAGTCTGGTGCTCCATATAATGGGATATATTGAACTAAAAAATTTGTATATATAGTATGTCAGCATTTCTTATTAACTTCTCTTGAATCCATTTTTAATATCTAATATTGTACAGGTTAGGGAGTTATACTCTTCAGGCCAATACTATCCAGACTGTATAAATTTATAAAATAAATTGAAAAATTCATCATTCTCCTATATTCAAGTCCAACACACATAAATGCTAATGCAGGGCTCAGAGGGGAAATATATTTCTCCTGAATATTTGAGAAAATGTGAAGTCCTTTCAAGAAAATCTAATAAACATAATAATCATAGCCTGCTGACACTAAGGAAAAAGGACCTCATTCGCTCTTTCTTTTATGCAGCGATTTACTGGTCCCTACTGATTTCCAAATTGGATCACTGTAGTAAATTATCTATGCTGGTACCTGTGAAAGTAAGCCCTAGGATCCATATTTGTTTTGTGTTCTGCTTAAATCAGCAAGAATGATAAATTTGATGGTGTGAAATTGAAAGTGTCCAGGGCTTTCTTTGGTGATTGAACAAAATGATGTCTCCACTTTAATTTATTGTGACCCTTTTCCACTCTGTGTGCTTTGTATATCTAATATTTATTTCAATACAAATTAAATTCTTGTTCCTTCATCTGTATTGTTATATATCTAAGATTTTATTGATGTAAAAATCGAATTGTGTAATAAAAATCTCGATTTAAGCAGATTTGAAAATGTTATGTTGCAAAAAAACATTTACAGTTAGAATTCAGCTTTCCATTGTGCTTTCATTGCCTTATTGTTAGAATAAGGTGAATTTGAACACTTCTATTGTCCTCAGCCCATCACAGATGATAGAAATGGTGTAATTTTGTGGTCTAAGGTGAAACTGAAAAAAAATAAGAAGTTATAGTGGATCTCTCAACTGTTCGAGTGCTTTACTTCTGTACCTTTTTTTTTAAGTGAGATTTATTGCCTAGTGGATAAGTTATTTATAACCCTCAAACTATTTACAATATACAATATACTTCAAAGTCTCGATTTAGTTATTGTATAACTAAATCAACACATATATAATAACTAAATCAACACAGGATAACATAGAGGAATATATTTTCCTTATGTGTTTAGAATTGGCAGATAGTTTCTGTGGAAATTTTAACAACTCATACTAAGCAAAATGCTGTATAAGTAAGTAGTTTATGGTTTTTGTTTTTGTTTTTTTTTGGTTGAATTCTTTGAATTTTGGACCTCTGCAACCATTATGACTAAGAGTTCCGTAAGTAACAGGTCATTTCATTTAAATAACCAAAAACCCTCAAGACAAAGAATTGAAACTTGCAGTGATCCAGAATAAAATGGATGTATTTTTTCTTTTTGTCATTAACTCCTAAAAGATACAGTTGTTAAAAAAAAAAAAAAAAGGATACAGTTGTATATGCATGTTTCTCTGATCTGAAATAATGGTCCTTGATGCAATGAACTCTCAGATTCATGTTTTACAGTTCATTTTGTTAATATCCAAAGCATATAGTTCATCTTATAAAGTGTTTAGAAAATAGGCTTTTATTCCTTTATCTAAAAAGCTAAATTTCCTTTTGGGGCTTATAGTCTTATTG